CGCATGCTCGGGAGAAAGGCTTTAGTTTACCTCTCTTCTAGATGGAGCTTCGTCAGGTGCTCATCTCTTGTATAAAAAAACCCCTCTATAATTTCCCCTCTTGCATAAGGTACCGTCGTACTCATCTCCGTGGTATGCAGAACTCGTGGTTCACCTAACGTAGAAAAAACTTCTGTGTGTGTCTTTGCACTGGTAACTTATATAGTATAACTCTCTCAAGAGAAATTGTATTTCAATTCTTTTATGGAACCCGACATAGAGTTTCATCTCCTGTAAGAGTTAGGGTCAGCTTCCATCGTTCTTGTTGTGGCACAACAAAACCCAGTTTGCTTTTTTTGTGTAAAAGATTACATAGAAAATTATCGGTACTAAGCATAAAAAAAATAACTTGTGTAAATACTAGTAACGGTAAGTTCGTGCCGTTTAAGCCGAATCTTCCAGTTTGGCCTATTTGGCAAGGGTGCACTATGCCTAATAAGCCAACTGACAATTTGTTTTTGTAATCTGAGCAATACAAAAAATGTATAATTGATTTTAAGTAATCAGAAACTAAATTTAGATTAACTATCATATTACAGACCAGAATTTAACTAAGAAAAATTACTTTAGATCAAGGGAGATAGGTGGAGTTTCTATGTTTTGGGTCCCAAAAATAAAAAGCATTGTCACTGTCACTGAAAGAAAAATAGCTTACAATCTGCAAAGAAAACTGGAAACGAATTTAAGGAGTTCGGCCCTATATCGATAAGTTTCGCTTATTAGGTTACACTATATATATATATATAAAAAGTATATAAATAAATAATATATATATATATATATATATATAATATATATAAATAAATATATATATAGTATATATATATATATATATATATATATATCGTGCCGAAATGTTAAAACTGGTCAATTAGCGCGAGAAAGATCATTTAAAATTAAGTCATTTCATGCAATTTTCTCTAATACGTTTAAAGATATATTTTTTATTAACTGGTCATTGAGGAAAGTTTTAAATGTAAGAGACTTCTTTATAAGTTTCGCTAATTATGTTGCGCCAAAGAAACTTCTTAGAAAACTGTTTACTAACCTGTTATAAAAGTCTCCTGGCGAACAATTTTATTTTTCAGCCTAACCCAACTACTTAATATATTTTAGACGAGATGCGAGTTTATTACAATAATTTAATACTAAACAAAACACAGTAAATATATTTTTTTTCGTTATAGATCAGAATGATTTTTGTGCGAAATATTGCATACACAAATTTTCCACCGGTCCTATATGGCAAGAATGACGTTGTTTTAAGCCAAGACGCAAGTTTCTGCTAATTCGGGCACGACATATAAATAATAATATAGTATATATATAAATATATATATATATATATATATATATATATATATATATAATAATATATATATATATATATATTTCGTGCCGAATATTCAAAACGGTCCAATAGCAAGAACTCTCCATTTAAAATTAAGTCCTTTCTGAAATTTCTCTTATACTTTTAAAGATATATTTTTTTTTTCATTAATGTTAATGTAAAAAATTTTAATTTTGGGCACCGTCAGAATCTAGAAAACATACCTAACCTTATCATAACGAAGCAATTTAATTTAGCCTACCCAACTAAATATATTTGAAATACGTTTACAGTAATTTAGATACTGAAAACAAACACAAGCAACTGTATTTTTTTTCATTAGGTTCAGAATGATTTTTAGCGAAATATTTGCATACACAATTTTTCACTTGTCCTATATGCAAGATGAGCGTTGCTATTTAAGCCAAGATGGCAAGTACTGCCTATTCGGCTACGACATATATAATATAACTATATATAATTATATACAGAGGAGACTGAAAAGCTTGAATCCCATGGCTTGAGGCGGACTGACGGTGCCCGGGCTGGGAGAACACGGCTTGTGTACCAGGCTGCCCAGTCTATGTGGCATTTGTGTGGCCGCGTGGTCTAAGCGCTGACTGAATCTTCCCGCCCCAGTAAGCAGTATCAGTCCCTGCTTAGACCTGCGATATTTTTCTCTAAATATACAAACCGGTACGTATCCCACTCGAAGCAGGATGGCCCAAAAAGAAACTGAAAAGTTTCTCTTTCAAATTTAGTAATTTATACAGGAGAAGGGTACATCCTCTTGCTTCCGGCACATTAGTCCCGCCTCTTGCAACACACATGGAATTTACGGAGGAAGAATTCTGTTTCACTTTCCATGGAAGATAAGAGGAAATAACAAGAACAAGAATCTAAACAAAAAGGAAGAAAACCTCCAGAGGGGAGTGTTTATATATGCTTATGCATGTATGTGTATGTGACCTAAGTGTAAGTAAAGAAGTAGAAAGACGATATACCTGAAATCTTGCATGTCTATAAGACAGAAAAAAGGGGACACCAGCAATCCTATCCATCATGTAAAACCATTAGAAGGCATTCGTATTACACTCACGTTGGCAGACGTATTACCTCCCTGGGCGGTTGCTGTCTACCAACTACAACATATATATATAAATATATATATAATATATATATATATATAATATATATAAATATATATATATATATATAGTATATATATAATATAAATATAAATATAATATAATATTATATTGTAAGTTTATTGTATCAGTTAAGATTTAAGGTAGAGTATTTCTGTCATTTCGAATTTGTCCATACAGCTCCAAATCATCAAGTTTAAATCGTACATGTTTGTGTGGGTAGCTGGAGGTGAGCTGTGTGTGGCCTGCAGGGACAAACAGTCATTGGCCAGAGTAATCCTGATAGCAGTGTAGTGTGACGGTGGTCTTCACCCCCGGACGTGGAATGGAGTAGAGAAGGTCAGCTAGGTGGAATGGGTCGAATTATTGCGTGGAAGCTTTGAGAGTGATATCACCATCATGTATACGAGGCAGCATTTTCTCATTGTTAAAAAAAAAAAAAATCTTCTATCCCTCCCAGTGAGAGACAAGGTCCTGTGCTTATGAGCTATTCTTTTGCTTTCTTGTTAAATTCTGTTTGTGATGTGGAACGATGTTTTACAGTGAGTGTGTGTGTGTGCACGCGAAAGCTTGTACATTTTTTTTTTTATGAAACCGTGCGATGATGTCTGTGTTAATTTGGTGTGTGTCCTGAGGAATGCCAGTCCACTGTGTATGATTCATTCATTAGAGATTAGCCGGACTATCCGGCCCGGTCTTCTCCAGATGGTGTACGATGGACCTCGGCTGTATGACCAAGCGTCAGCCACCCATGTGTGTCCCAAATATAATAATGTTGACGTGACTTGTCACAATAATAATAATAAAAATAATAATATAATAATAATAAAAAAATAATAATAATAATAATAAATAATAATAATAAAAATAAAAAAAGCTGTTATTAATATTATTATTATTATTATTATAATTATTATTATTATTATTATTATTATATTATTAATTATTAATAATATTACTATTATTATTAAATATTTTAGGAAAATATCCCAATTTCCCGTAGAGCTACTATGCTCCTGAAGTTTACCTGGAGAGGGTTCGGGGGTCAACGCCCTTGCTGCCGATGGGACGGCTGAGACCAGGCCTCATGTGATCAAGGTCTAATCAACCAGGCTGTTACTGCTGGCTGCAACGCCGGTTATTCAGGTACTGACTTTAGGTGCCTGTCCAGTCCCTTCAAGAAGGACAGCCAGGCGTCTAATGGTAACCCCCGTTATGTGTTCTGGAGCAATATGAATGGGAGGGGTCTTGGGCCCCGGACACTTATTGTGTTGTCTCTCAGTGTACTCGTGGCGCCCACTGCTTTCATCAGTGAGAATGTTGCATCTCTGCCGATTCTTTGCTTTCATAGGAAGTGATTTTCGTGTGCAGGTTTCGTATACCAATCCCTCCAGAACCTACCAAGTGGTTATATTATCATGTATCTCTCTCGCCTGCGTTCGAGGGAATACAGATCAGGGACCATCAACCGTTCCCTAGTAGTTTAGTGAGAAATATAGTATTATGTTTATCGAGAAAGTTCTTTGTACACTCTGCAGGTCTGCAAGCTACCTGTTGCATCTTTGCATAGAAGTCTTCTCTGATTGTTTAGTTGAATTTAGATCAAGGGTCTCAAACTGCGGGCCCGCTGTAACATGCGGCCCTAGGGCTGGTGATATCGTGCCGCTGGTAACATGCGCCTGCTGGCCACATGCGGCCCGCTGGCCACATGCGATCCGCCACAAGATTTTATAACGGCTCGCGCAACTTGAAATATTTATAACTAGTAAATGCTAATAAACACTCGCTGCTTGTAACAATTTATATGTCAAAATTTGTTAAAATTTTAATTCTATCTTTTCATTTTTCAGAAATATTCTTTGGTTATGGAAGGAAAAAAAGTAAAGAACAGTGCAGAATGAGTGCCGCCAGTTTAGTGAAGAATGAGGTGTAAAGGTGATAAAGCCTTGTGTGTCGTATACCGCGAAACTGTCGCAGTTTTGAAGAAATTCAATGCACGTCGGCATTATGATACCAAATATAAACCAAGCTATTTCCAATTCACAGGAACACAGCATTCAGAAAAAGTTAAATCAATGCAACGCAAGTTGCTTTCCGAACAAGGATTTTTTACACAGAAGAGATCTGAAAATGAAGCTTTAACCAGGGTCATTTACGAAACAGCTTATGTGTTACCTACAGGAGGAAAGCCATTCACAAATGAAAATGTGATCAAAGAGTATAATGATGAAATCCGTGGGAGAGTTATGCCCAGAAAAAGCAAATCTGTTCAAAATCTTGCGCTAAATGTTGATGCTCGTAGATTTGAGAATATAGGACGCAATATATTTCTTTAAATTGCAGACAAAGCACGAAATTTTCAGTTTTATTCTCTCACACTAGATGAATCGAATGATGTGAGTGACACATAACAACTCCTAGTATTTATCTGTGGCGCCGCCAATGAATTGAATGCCACGCGAGAATTAGCCTCATTACATAGTATGTACACCATAGAAACCGGAGAAGACATCTTCAAAGAATTGCAAAAATCTATATTAGAATATAACCTGAAGTGGAATGAGCTGCAATACGTAACAGTTGATGGAGGAAAGAACATGTCTGGGGCGAAGAAAGGTTTGGTTAGACAAATCACAAAAGCTTGTGAGGATGGTGGATTCTCAAAGCCCGTGTTTCTGTATTATGTTATCCATCAGCAAGCATTGTGCGGAAAATATATGGATATGTCTTGAATTATAAAACCTGTTGTTTCAACAGTGAATTTCATTCGATCTCACGGGCTTATTCATCGCCAGTTTTCGTGATTTTCTGAAAGAAACTGAGTACTTTGACTTGCCTTGTTACACAGCAGTTCGATGGCTTAGTTGTGAAAAAGCTTCTATCTATCAAGGTTCTTTCAGCTCAGAAAGGAAATTTATTCTCTTCTCACTGAGAAGAATTAACCCGAGCACTGTTAAACAAAAAGTTACTGCTTTGGGAAAATGGGCCC